ATCGGTTCACAGTGGTCGTTCTCGCTTTGCGGTGTCTTTCAGTCGTTACCAGTGGAAATCGCCCTGCGGTTCGAATAATTGTATATCTTTCTGTGTGACCGTCTTCGTGGTTACGTTCCACAGGCCGCAATTTTTTGAGCAACTCGAAGATTCGTCACTTACGACAATGAAAATACAACATATGGCACAAAGCCAACCTCTACGATTACCACAACCAGCGCACGGTTTCGGCATTGCTGTCGACGGACAGCCCCTGTCTAATAATCGTGTTCGTTTAACTAGAAAGAATGGTCCGTTTGCACATTTGGTAAAATTCCACGAATCGTCCGTCTTTTGATGTTGAAATTGAACCAAATGCTGGAATTTCCGGCCATTGGTCAACAGGCTGGTTGCAGGTAGCCTCTCAGACCCGCTGCGTAAAGCAGACATTGGTCTCATTTCATATTGGCTTGGTTTTTAACGGCTCGGTCGTTGCTGTCGCTATCTGCGTTCAACACCAGCTTGAGGGTGCCCACAGCGCTACAGGTACTTAAATCACTGGACCTGTTTCAGACTTGTTTCCGTTGTCTTGCAAGCAGTATTCCATATCGCCGGCGATTCAGGATTTCTCAGTCGATAGGGCGTCGTACTCGAAAGCAATAGGTCCTAGATCCAAGCCCTGATCGGATTACTCGTCGTTCTGCCTGGAGTAGGAGACGGACGAACGGTTATCACCGTATGGAGGGAAACACCCTACCGCGTACTGTGCTGACCACGTCGCTGTAGGTGGACTCTGAACGATAAAACGGACGGCCATCAACGTTGTACGATAAACTTCACGAATGCAACGGACCGACAGATGGTTTCCAAGCACGAAAGTGCTGAGGGCGGCCGACGTCCGACCGGTTAAAAACTTTCCTTTTTTCCTTTTGCAGGTGGTCACTCTTTCGGTAGTACGTATTCGTATTGCCATATCAAGACGCAATGCGTTTGTTGTTTCGCTGATGGTCAGCAAATCAGGTGAGCTGCATGAAGGCGAAAAAGCAGCCACAAGGCACGCTTACTTCGGACAGCGTCACTGTGCACCATGTCCATTCGGCACGACCAGACCGGAATGATGTACCTGCGTATTGTTTGCAAGCCAACGAGTTACTTACCATTTGTTCCTCGGCTGGTTGCGCCGAAGGCACTCGAGGTTGGTTGATTCTGCTCGTTCAACGGAATTTGAGGTTAAGGCAAAGTTCGTTTCCTTAGCGGATTCGAACCACCGTGACGGCACTGTGATCTCGAAATTTCTGCTGAGAATTTTCGCCGATGGTCTAGATGTTCTAAAACATTTTAGGAATGCACCACATAGTATGGCACCATCTGGTCTTGGAACGGTTATGCGCTATTCAACATACTTGGGCGTACGAACATTCGGTAGAAGTGAAGTTTATGCGGTAACGTATTGTTGTTGTTGTTGTTGTTGGTAGTGTGTCATCGTCACCGAGTGCTTGCCGAGGTTAAACAGCGAAACAACCCAGATTTACTGTGCGACCCTCAAAAATGGTACCTCAGATTGATGTTAGGCAACGCCTACTGCTGCCGCAAAAGTCGCATTCCTCAACTGCCAGCAGATCTGCCTCAGCGAGGTGTTTCGTGTTTCTTATTGTTTTCGAACGCGTTTAGGACCATTTGGTGGTTAGTGCGTGAGAAGGGTTTTGCAAAGTGGTTCATTGTTCTTTTAGGACTGTTTTACGAACTAAGCCAGGTGTCGGTCTCTGAGTTCATGCGTTGGTTTTTTCGCACCGCTGGCCATCGGCACCTGCTCGTTCGTGACCCAGCGGTACCATCACATTTTGAGTCAAACGTTGTTGGAAGTTGTCTAGTTTTTGACGAGTTTCATGACGTTGAAGGACAGCAGGTGTTTCGAGTGAGAGCATGTGTGAGCACCATGAATACGGCTGCTTCCAAGAAGGTGGGTGACGTTCGTGCCCGTTCTTACAGTTCGATCCTTCCGTATGCCTTACAGTTGGCCGAAACTCGCCGATGCCAGTTTTGACTCGCCGGTTTACTTCAGGGGTACATAAGCAATGTCAACTTCTGAAACATAATTCATAATGAGCGCAAGGTAGATTTCATGGGGAACGAAATAGCGCGAACTGCATCTGACACTGCTGGTACTTCAATAATCGGGGGACCATGGCATGACTAAGTGGACCTTAATGGCGAGTGGGAGTGACGAGCAACCGGAGGTGTAATACGCCGTTTGACCTGGCTTTGGACAAGTTATGCGTCATTTAGCACAGGATCACCGAGTGTACGGTGCAGCAAGACAAGACCCACGTCGAGTGATTGCGGTAGCTGCTTCGTTTTGTTCACCTTTCTACCTGTACCTGTAGCACGACGACGATTGCTTGCGGAATTATAGCCTGTTTCCTGGTGGCTGGCTGACTTTCGGCTCATTCTATTCGTATGTGCGTGAATTTGTATTTCTTGATCAAGCGGTCGAACGCACCTGTTTGCTGTTGTGAGGCAAGCCTTAATTTCTGCCTTAATCATCTGTGTCGCCTCAGCTGTTTCAAGATTCGGTTCAGAGTAGGTGCCGCGCGATGAACGATTGGCTTTCGCGCACATGTCGCATTCGTTTCGTTGATTTTGGAAGCCCGGGCCCGGTATTCCTTTCGGGTACAAAGGGGCGAGGCAGCAGTTGTTTGAAGAGCGATTGTCCGGTGATGACGGTCCGTCGCCGAAACGCCGTCCGAAACTCCGCCGCCCGGAAGCGTGTACGGATTGGGAGGTGTGAACGCGTGACGAAAGAAGCGTTGGTTTTGTTTGGGTTTGGAAAAAGCCCAATTTCGACCCAGTTCGTCAAATGGTCTTGAACCTCGTGTGCGCTTGCTCAGCGACGACGACTGTCGTCGGACCAGATTCAAAGTTCAACAAGGCGTAACACTGCTTTATGACAGAATGTGGTAAAGCGACGAACTGGCCGACAGACAGATGATGATCGTCGAACGCGCCCAGCCAGCCGGTGCTGGAAAACGGTGGGTGACCGCCAGAATTGGTGTCCGTCGACGGTCAACGGTCGACGGTCGACGAAGGAACTTGGAACCGAAACGGAACCGAAATGACACCGTAACTAACTAATTGTCGTCGTTAAGACGATGGTGTGCTGCTGGTGGTGCTCGTCTCGTTTGTAATTATTCGAATGACTGCGACTGTCGTCGTTGTCATCTGAAGAGCGGCGACCGTGGCGACTGGGTGACGACGACGACGTCGAATGACCGCGATCGATGCTACTGCCGGTAATTGATCATGTACTCATCGACGGCGCATCAGTGGCTTTGTTTTTGACCACACTCTTATATTTTAACCGTCCCCGCAATCGATTGTGTAGCCGAGGGCGCGGCTCGTTCCAGTTTTCTGCCACCGCTCCGCCGGCCAACTCGGTGGCTACTCTCAACGGCTAGTCGGTCGGCGGTCGGAAACAACGACCCACTAGGCCCCGGCGTCCACTGCCCGACGGCTGCCACTGCCTGCAGCGTAGAAATTTTTTTTCAAACGAAACCATGAAGCATTACGTAACAAAACATGAACATCAACACCGCGCTTACTGTAGTTAATCGCCGACACGTCCCGCCCTTCGCGTTGTCGTCGCTCAATGGTCAGCGGTTTAAGCAGGTGCGACAACAACAACAATAACCACTCATCGCGGTACACGATGAACCTTTGAACCTGCCGACGCTACGCGCCCGTCGTTCTTGCTCTGTCCTCCTGTCACCCGACCGACCATTGGCATTCGAGACAGATGATGTTCGCACCGCGGGCCAATGGGCGGGGCGGAGCTTCCGGGCCGGTTAGCAAACGCTATTGTGGCATTAACGACGACGGGCGGGATACCATGCCGAGCCACGGTCACCGTTGGTCTGTCGTTGTTGAAAGCGTCTCGCGTTCTGCTGTACGGACTTTCTGGCCGTGGCTCCACGCGGGCCTTTGATACGGTTCCTACGAAACGATGACCATTCCACCCAGCCAACGGACGGCGAGCACGTGGTTTCAGTCGCAAGCCTATTGGTAGTGATAGCATTCGGAACTCGGATTTCAAGTACCTGTTGTTTTTTGCTGCGTTCAACCGATTAGCCACGCTACTGGCCGAGTTGACCACTAGACGACAGCAACTTACTTTGAGCCACCTCAGAGGCGCTTAATTAATGACTTGGGCGTTGGCACAGTTCATTTCATCACCGACTAATAAATAACCAGTAGTCCGTGCCAATTTGTCACATCATTGCAAACCGTGTCTGTTGAATTATTCCGCGTCGATAATTGCTGCGCCACTCTTACCTGTTATGAACTTGAACTTTAATGTTGCATTTTTTCTGATTTGAGAATGGCTCCTAGGAACATCTCCAGATCGATTCCACGATGAGCTAAAGAGGGGGTTAGCCTCATCAACGTCGATAAAAACGGCAGCAAACATAAGTTTGTGGCAAAATCTTGGAGAAGCGAGGCTTTTATCAGCGATGGATCGAGAAAGGACGTCGATGCTGATGATGATACCATTCATATAGTACTGTATATGTTTGTAGTTCAGTAAGTTAATTGTTTTGAAGTCGGTGGTCGCCGGATCGAACGCGAATAAAGAACGTGTTACGTCCAGCGTTTGGACCGTACCAGCGTCGTCTTCTAGAGCGGAGAAAATGACGGCGTAGAATAAATACCGTTGCTATATTGGTCGTGTTCGATCGGGGGCCACCACTGCGTCGAAAACTCCTCAAGTTTCGAGAAGAATTTCCTGCGTCGTTTAAGTCTTAGCGCTACTGTAACTCTCACTGAGAATTCATTCACGTATTGGTCAGTTATCTCGCTTACCTTTGTCGTCGGTGCGTGCGCCAGGATCACTAAGCCAACGCTTCTTTAATCTTTTCCGTTCCCACTATGTGCCTCCACCCGTGGCCAAGTAGACCAACGGTCGGATCTTGCATCATCCAACCGCATTCTTGGACTGGACGGCTGAGTGGACATCTGTGATCCAGAGAAACTCAGTTTGGAAATCTTGATGTAAACGCTTTATGTCTCAGACGACCCGTTGTCGAATTTATGCCCTTCCAGCAACACCTCGCACAATCTACCAGTACGGATGCTCCTCACTTTACGACGGTTCGAGTTACGGTTGCGCTGTAGCGGGGTGCCTCAGTTTCTGTAGCTATCGCGAGCTTGAACATCTCATACAGTATTTAAGAACGAATCACACGGTGACGACGTGATCACAATCGCGAGAGATTTGCAGAACTTGAAAAACAAATACAAAACGCCCTTGCTTGCCAATAAAGAAATTTATGATGAAAGAGAGAAACAAACTGTCCGGTCAAAAGTTGATATTTTGCTGAGGAGGCAAGCGCCTGTTCCTGAACCATCAGCAAGTGTCGGCGATTCAGTGCTTTCTGGGAGCTGTGGTCGTGCACGCGAATCATCGAAAGAAAACGAAATTTAAAAATTGATTAGTCTGTCGCTCTAGCCTCCTCCAAAGCACAGTCATTCAGCAATTAATATTAACTTTTCAGTTATTGGTATTTAGTTAGTTACGGTAATTATTCGTTTATCTAATGACAATTAATAATTTAAATGACAGTATTTATTTGTTTACTTATTTAGTTATCTTGTCATGTTCGGTATTCGACTTGTGATATGTTCAGCTTACGATCAGTTCTCGCAACGCAACCCGCTCGGAAGTCGAGGGGCACCTGTGCTACTATTGTTGCATCCTCCCTTCGTTCCAGCGGCATCGGTACCAGACGGCTTCGGACATGGTCCAATTTTTTCTGCATTTCTCCCCTGTCCGCATAAGCAGGACGGTGGAACACGATGACACCGTATTTGGGTCGTCAGATAGGGTTTCCAGGTCCACCGCAGTTACTTGCTGGCGAAGAGATTGGTTGACGGACGGACAGGCGGACGGACAGACAGGCGAACGGACAGACGGACGGACAGACGGACGGACGAACGAACGAGTCGTACAAAATGCCGATTCGCATCAGCGACCGGTGAATGGCGCGACGATCGTGTTCTACACTAGGATCATGGCCATCAATACCTACCAGAAATGTTTCCGGGACGCGGCGTCTCGTGCACGGCGATGTCCGTTAGTGGAATACCGACGTAACGCCTGATTACCTTTGCCTATGAGCCATTAGGCAGCCGGTCAGCCGGAAAACTCCACTTATTACCAACGCTGGTTGTGTTGTGCCCGTCTTCTTGCCTTACGGCTGCGCAGCCTGGACTCTGCTGAGGGACAACCTCCAAAGTGTGCGTGATCGTTCCGGTTGGAACATCAGACACACATCACA